AGCCTTAGGTGGGGTGCAGTGGGTGCCTCAGCCCAGCGCCCGGGAACCAGCCCCCGCCCCAGCGCGCGCGCACTCACCGCTTAGCAGGCGACCCGTCGCGCCCCGGAGCCCCGCCAGCAGCACTGCCAGCAGCACGGCCTGCAGCGCCGCTCCCGGCTGCATGGCCCGGCTCGGGTGCGCCTTCGGACGCCGGGGCGCTAAGGCGGTGGAGCGGGAAGACCGGCAGCGGCGTGCTCCGCAACTTCAACGGCGGGCGGCAGCAGCATCTCCAGAGGACCGACGGACCCGGCGCCCGGAGGAGGCGGGGAGTGCGCGGAGCCAGTCCGTCGCCCCTCCGCCCTCTGGGACGTCACTGCGGAGAGGGCAGCCCCGCCGGCTGGCCCGCCCCCTCCAGGGCCTCCTCCAGCGCGCTCGGCGCTAGACACCCCGCCCGCCCGAGGGGAGCGAGCAGAGGAGGGGAGCCAGCTCCCCACCCCAATTCGAGCTTCCCATGGAAATGCTGCGTTTGCCCAGGGCGCGGGGACGAGGAAATCCAAGACTGGCTTCTCCGAAATCCGATGAAGACCGCACTGTGGCTAAAAACACGACCGCATCTTGCCCCCACTCCTCAGGGGCACAGCCAGTTTCCCAGCGTCCTAGGCTCCGCAGTTGGGAGAGGCAAACTCTCAGACCTGCCAGGGCTCGGTAGGCCGCTGTCCAGGCACTCAGGGCTACACCTGAGAAAGGAATGGCGGATGAAGAGAACAGATGCTCAGGTAGGCAGGGTGACCACTGGCCAGGCAAATTTTGGGACAGCGTCCAGAGAGGCTAAGTTGGAGTTCTGGGCGAGAGGAGAGTGGACTTCCTAGAAGCCAAAGGGTGTTCTTGAGCCCAGCAAGGAAATAATAGTACTTTTTGCAGGGCACATGGGTGTAGGTGTTTGTTCAGCCTTGTGGTAGAAAGGAGATGACCCCCTCACTTTTCCCCCAGGAAAGAGTGACCTCATTTCCTTTGGAAAAGCTTTCCTCACCAACCCAGCCCTCAATGTGTGCTCCTTTTTCTAAACTCCCACAATAGTCGTGTTTTACATTTACTTCTTGTTGTAAACAAAATGTTTTCAAATACATTCAGATAATAAAGTGAGCCTCCTGTCCAGAAACTAAAGTACTAAGTGCTGGAAGGTGGGTCTGATTTGCCTTTTCCCCTGTACCATGCTCTTGTGAAGCATGGCAGAAGCCCCACCTGGGCCACTGACTTCTGAGTTTTGGTCTCAGATTGAGCCATTGCAATTTTAGACAAACAGGCCTGATTGATCACAGGCTGGGGGATCTGTTTCAGTATCAGCTGGTAATACTGGGAAGCTCTGCTACTGCAGAAAGCAGCAGCATTGGCAGGAAGAGGGCTGATGTTTATGGCAAGTTCATTTACAGCCCGTCTTTGTGTCTGAATTAGAACATTTCACATCCAAAATACATTCTTTTTAGAAATTCCTGATAATCAAAACAACCAAAGAGGGAGCTGATATGGTGAATAGAAGCACCTGAGTTGGCATCAGATATTCTGTTTCCAGTCCTGCTTTTCTTCACTTAATGTCTGTGTGGATTTCAGCAAGTTTCTTTGCCTAAATCAATTAACTCTTGGCAACAATAAAAGTTACCTTAACTTGTGAAGGTTTGATAAGGCAACTAGATATGTAAGTGTGCATATAGCTGAGCACTTAATGTAAATTGCAAAGGATTTATTTCCAAAATTATAACATCTGCTATAACTTAGAGAAGCTGTTACCTTGGCCCAAATAATTAAATTGTGCCCTGAGTTCTCCCTCTGATACCCTGGCCCTTGGTCCAGATAGACTTGGTTAAGGTATGCAGTTAACCTAATGCAGATTACGACAGTGACCCCAATTCTTCACCCAACCCTGTAACCACACCCTTTACTGTGTGACTTTGAAGTTCTTCTTACTAAAGGGGCAGAGTATATTTCCCCATCCTTTGTCCTTGTGTTTGACCATGTGACTTGTTTGGCCAACAGAATGAGCCAGAAATTTCTGAGCCTAGACTGGTAATGACCTCACGTGTTTTTGTTGTTCTCTTGCTTCTCTGCCACTCTCTGAGAGGAACATAGCTCAGATATGCCACTGGTCCAGGTATATCCTGAAGAAGGTATGTGGGGCAGAGCTGGCTCTGTCAATCAACAGACATGTAGCGAGAAGCAGACCTGCCCCTGCAGTCTGAAGCAGAGCTATCTGGCCAAACTTAGATCAGCCAAATCCTCCGTTGACCTACAGATATGTGAGCAATAATAAATGTTTTAGATCTCTTTGTTATTCAGTACTGTTGCAGCAATACCTGACCATTACACTTGGTAATGCAGAGAGGTGTCACTGGGGGAACACTGGTTGCTGAGAAGGCTCATAACGTAGAATTTTTCTTGGTAAAATTGTCTTGGTCCAGGGTCCAACCCTTAGTTTGACAAGCTCAAACCCAGTCTAAGTGACTAATATATTTACCTGTTGAGAAATAGAATCATCAGGTAAACCGATGTTTGCCTTGGCCTCTTGAGCACATACTCTCCCTCTGGGCGAAAGAAGATTTCTCAGTGAGCATGGAATCAGAGCAAAGGGAATTAGCTATATGGATTGAAAGTTTAGCCTGCTATGTCCGTCTTCACAAGAGAGAGCTATCTGTCTGGCAGTGAAAAACATCACCCTGACAGGGTAACTTTTATTCTTGGTAATGCTGAGATGAGATTACTAATTTCGTAACTTTCTAAATTTCCCTTCTCTAAGCCTGATTACCCTCCTTCTGTTCAAAACATTTTTTCTCCAAATAGTGTTGTGGCAGAAACATTTCTTTTAGTGATAGAGTCATTGAATTCGAACTAGGCAGGTGTCCCCGCATCCACCCCCATTAAAGACTATTTCCCAGCCTCCCTTGCAGTTTGGTGTGTCCCTAATGATTAAGTTCTGACCAGTGGATCACTGGCTCCGCTGCTGGCACTGTGAATGGGAGATGCATCGTACGGAGGTTACGTCCAGGACTTGCAGGTGGAGGCCAGGTGTGAAGTGCACGGTGGTCCTAAATAGAGCTGGAGCCCTGGAGCTGTGTGTACAACCCTGAGTAGGTCTGCCAGTTGGACAATGCAGAAGGGACAAAGTCTTAACCTTCTCTTTTCCAATATATACCAAAGGGAATGATCTTTGAAAGTGAGGGAGATTGGCACTGGGATTATGTCCATGTGTATAAGACAAAGGAATGTTGAACCTCAAGATCTTTTTTGATCCATCTCCTAGAGTAATGGAAATAAAAACAAAAATAAACAAATGGGACCTAATGAAACTTCAAAGCTTTTGCACAGCAAAGGAAACCATAAACAAGACGAAAAGACAGCCCTCAGAATGGGAGAAAATATTTGCAAATGAATCAACGGACAAAGGATTAATCTCCAAAATATATAAACAGCTCATGCAGCTCGATATTAAAAGAAAAACAACCCAATCAAAAAATGAGCAGAAGACCTAAATAGACATTTCTCCAAAGAAGACATACAGATGGCCAAGAAGCACATGAAAAGCTGCTCAACATCACTAATTATTAGAGAACCGCAAATCAAAACTACAATGAGGGGCTTCCCTGGTGGCGCAGTGGTTGAGAATCTGCTTGCCAATGCAGGGGACACGGGTTCGAGCCCTGGTCTGGGGGGATCCCACATGCCGCAGAGCAACTAGGCCCGTGAGCCACAACTACTGAGCCTGTGCATCTGGAGCTTGTGCTCCGCAACAAGAGACGTCCGCACACCGCGATGAAGAATGGCCCCCGCTCACTGCAACTAGAGAAAGCCCTCGCACAGAAACGAAGACCCAACACAGCCAAAAATAAATAAATAAATATTAAAAACAAACAAACAAAATAAAACTACAATGAGGTATCACCTCACACCAGTTAGAATGGGCATCATCAGAAAATCTACAAACAACAAATGATGGAGAGGGTGTGGAGAAAAGGGAACCCTCTTGCACTGTTGGTGGGAATGTAAATTGATACAGCCACTATGGAGAACAGTATGGAGATTCCTTAAAAAACTAAAAATAGAATTACCATATGACCCAGCAATCCCACTACTGGGCATATACCCAGAGAAAACCATAATTCAAAAAGACACGTGCACCCCAATGTTCACTGCAGCACCATTTACAATAGCCAGGACACGGAAGCAACCTAAATGCCCATCGACAGATGAATGGATAAAGAAGATGTGGTACATATATACAATGGAATATTACTCAGCCAGAAAAAGGAACGAAATTGGGTCATTTGTTGAGACATGGATGGATCTAGAGACTGTCCTACAGAGTGAAGTAAGTTAGAAAGAGAAAAACAAATATCGTATATTAACGCATATATGTGGAACCTAGAAAAATGGTACAGATGAACCGGTTTGCAGGGCAGAAACTGAGACACGGATGTAGAGAACAAATGTATGGACACCAAGCGGGGAAAGTGGAGGAGTGGTGGTGGTGGTGGTGTGACGAATTGGGCGATTGGGTTTGACATGTATACACTGATGTGTATAAAATTGATGACTAATAAGAACCTGCTGTATAAAAACAAATATAAATAAATAAGACAAAGGAATGTTGAGCCAGCTAGTCACAAAACTAGAAGCAATTCACTTCTGACTTTAGACATGTTCCAGAAACTGAGTAAACCAAAATTTTGGAAAATGGAATTTTTTTTTTTTTCACTGCAAGAAGACTTTAAAGTTTTCAGGACTGACGTTTCATCTCTATTTCCTTATTAATTGTTTTTACTGGTGGTCTACAAGTTGAAGCACATGAAGTCCCTGTTTCTTGTTTATCTGATATTCATAAAATAGACCAAATATAGCAATTTTGGAAATACCCTTCAAATGAAAACAAGAAAAAGAGGAGTTTGTGAATGTATAAGATGAGAGAGACGATTACTGTGTGGTACCAAGTACAGTGATATTCACTAAGTAAAATAGACACAAGTATTCAATAACTGGTAAAATTCCTAGAAGTGCTGCATATTTAACTTTTATTTCTTTGTCTAATTTAACTGATTCCAATGATCCTGATGTAAGAGCAGGTTGTTTCAAAAGTGAAGATCTAAGTGAGCCATCCTCTCCCACGTGTCAATCAAATTAGTCCAAGGCTTTGACTTCTTCTTGGTCTTCTTTATCTGACTCTGAAATCACTTTCCTGTTGGCAGTAACATGAATCAGTTCCAATACACAGAACTCTGTAGTTGTGAACACAACGTGGCATGAAAAAATTTTTTGAAAGTTTCTCCAATAAAGATTTACTGTCTTGCATTCTGACTATGCCTTAGATTTTGCAATCAAGTGTAAACATCTGTGTGGGAGGAGTGGTCATTCCACCGTCGAGTGTGACCTGAAGGGCACAGGAGCAGACTTCCTAAACTTAAATACATTGTGCTCACCTGAGTCAGACCTCTGAGATTTCATCATTGGTGATTGATTTCTTTGGATGACCCATTGTTCCTTCTTGTAGCCCTCTTTTACGATGCAAATATTGGATAAAAAAACGTAGTGCCACTGAAACTTTACTATGTACACACTTTCTAGTTCTTTCTTTCTGACAGAAGGGGACCTGGAGTATCCTAAGATCTGATGAAGGAGTGATGGTAAGGGCATATCTGTATATGTGGGGAAAGTTTGGGTAGATAGGAAAGGATGGAGGGAGGAAAAAGAGGGCAAAATTAAAATAAAATTGTGTTTAAGATATTTCACAAATTCAAAAATGTTTACAAATTACTGTACAGTATAGAAACACCACTTTCTAAATTAGCTAATGCTGAACTACATGACATTTTTTAGCTAAAATTTTTTGTTACAGGGAATTCCCTGGTAGTCCAGTGGTTAGGACTTGGCGCCTTCGCCGTCGGGCCCAGGTTCAATCCCTGTTGGGGAGGTAAGATCCTGGAAGCCACTTGGCATGGCCAAAAAAAAATTTGGGGGGGGGTAACAAATATTTTCTGAATTCCTTCATGGAGGCAGTGTGCTAGGCACTTTGGGTGACCCAGTTTCTCACGGAACTTACAATATAGTCATAGACGAGTAAAAAATATGTGAAAAGTTAAATAACAACTTAAGAGATAATAAGAGTTGAATAATTATAAAATATGGGCACAAAGTAGTGCATGACTAACTGCCAAAAGAATGGTGCAGACAGTGACTGTGTAAGAAGCTCAGGGGAAGAAGATGTCACAGTGAAATGGAATAGAATTCAAGGCTTCGGGACCCAGGAGGGAGGCCAACCTGGTACACAAAAGGAATTAGGTAAGCACTTAAATCATTAAGAGAATTATCTGTTCAAGTTGTGAAATACTGTTTTACTCTTAGGTGAATCTACATGGATAGTAACAGGACTGTTCTGATCACTCCTATAAAAATATGCACAGAAATCTAAGGTACCCAGACAGATCTGTTGATACAATTCAAGTAGCAATCTTCATTATCTGAATCAGATAAGTGAACTTTTGACTGGACTAGTCTTGCTTCACCCTTAGAAGCTAAGTCAAATCATCTAGCTGAAAAGCAAGAAATTAAGTTGTTGAACATTGTATAGACAATATAGCCAGGTGATTAAGTGATCCTTCCATTTTTTTCAGAAGTTTTAAAAACCAGCATAGACATATTAATTTTTCACTAATAACATCTGATAACATTCAAGGAAGTCGGCCTCAATACCAATGAGATAAGAATAAAAATTCTATTACTTTTTGTTTTTCCCTGAATGTAGTATGCAAATAAATATTTGTCAAATTAATGTCGAGTTAGCCACATTGGGTTTCAATCAGAATACAGTAATGAAGACATTTACATTTTTTATTAGGGATTCTTTCGTGATTAACCAGTGATAGCCGGTTTCCTTTAAACTCTTCTGGACCATGTTCCTGGTGCTGCTCTAACATTATTCCGGTGATAAGGCTATTAACCCGTCACTGTGAAGCTAGAGCCCTTGCTACATGAACTTAGATTTAGCAAGCTTAGGTATGCCTTTGGTGGTATCAGAGTCGATAATCTAGAAGACCTGCTGATCTGCCAAAGATGGCAGGGCTAGGTGTGGGTAGGGGATAGGGGTGCTGAAGGGGAGTGATGGCAGGTGAATACAATTACCCAGGGTGAGAAAGGAGGGGAAGAGAATGTGTACAGACTCGAGGTTGATCTACTCTCCTGTTTGCACCAGTTTATACTTGCGTGTTGCACAGACATGTAAGTGGGCACAGGCTTTAATGTAGATGAGCAGAAGAAAGTTTTCTCAAGGCAAGAAACCTCTAAAACAGTGGGTGGGTTTTTAGAAGATTTGAAGGTAGGGAGCAAACTGATTAAAAAAAAAAAAGAAGCACTTCTTTGATAGAAGTAAACTTACTTTGCTTTGTGTACTTTGGCTTTTGGTTTATAAGGAAGGGAAACCAGTTCTTTCTAAAACAAAACAAAATAAAAATAAAAAAGGAAAATTTTTAGTTCTTGCACTGACTGAAATTTACTTACTTGAAAAAAATCTGAGGTAAAATTATCACAGAGTTTATAATGACCAGCTTATTAAACCTGGAGACTGTGGGGTTAGAAATGGTCCAGATTAGGGCATTTGGGGTTCATTCAGGAGAGTGTGTTTGTACATCCGGAAGTGTATGCGGTGCTATTGCTTTTATTGATTTTTCCTCTTCATTTAGCATTTGTTTTTGTAGGATCTAAGCAAGATCAATCATTGTAAAACAAATACTAGCAATGAAGTAGCCCATGTTAATATCCTACGGCTTTACAACATGTGACAATAAGCCCAGAGACAAGAGCACCATTTCTGTGCCAGCAGAGTTGCACACTGTTGCAGGTATCCTTGGTTTATCAAGGACTGTCAGATTATCTGATGTCTATGCCCTGCCCCCTCCAGCATATAAAAGGCTCTGGACCATGGACACCTAGATTTAAGGAGTAAAGCTATAAAACCTCTCAGAATTTGCCATAGTTCATATCACCCCCACCCCCACCCCGCCCTGCCCCGAGGTTTATCTGAATGTCTCACTATCAGTCTCACCGAGATCCTTTCTTCTCTTTGTTTTTTTAAGAGTTGGATAATCTCATCTCTCTTTTTAGCCTGTTTAAAGGAAAAAAAAAAAAAAGAGCAGATGAGTCTTTTGACTCAATAATAAAGCTATGTGTCCATGGGGGGGGTAGGATTTTTTCCATTTTCCTTCTTGTATTTTGGGGCAGAATTAAAAATTTTTTCCATGATAGATTTATACTTTTCATTTATAACACAATTCAGTTTTTATTCCAGAGGATGCTGCTTTACAAAATAATTTGATTTTGATTCTAAATGGAGAGAATTTTTCTTGCCCATATAATAACTTTTATTGACTTTATTACATGAACCGTACTAAGAACTTGATATGTTTTATCATTATTTTCTTATAATAACTCAGAATTTTGACATCACTATCATCCCATTTTATATATGAGGAATGTGAAGAATACTAAGGTTAAATACCTTACTCAAGGTTTTAAGTGGCAGAACTGGATTTGATACCAGCACTACTTGAAAACAAAGCCCAAGCTATTGGCCACCACACTAAATTGCCACTAAATGGTAGCAAGACACAAAATCAGCCAGCTCAAACAGCATGCCACCACGGACATCCATGGCAAGAGGGCTCTTCTAAGTAGCTTACATACAGAACAGAATCTCACACTCCATTCCTCCTCTGTCTTAAGATATTGAGACATGCGCATCCTCAGGTTAGTTTCCTTAAGAGTAAAAAACAAAACAAAACAAAACCCCCCCCATTTTAGTGCAGGCACAGAGATTTATCAAGATATAGACTGTATACAAAGAGGCAAATATGGGTACAAAATTTTTTTCATAGAATACAGTTATGTTCAGTATTGGAGATGGCGAGGCGGAAAATCGCATCTGGAGTGTTTGTGAACAAGAGGAGAAAGAAATCTGAGAATCTGACAAATCAAACTTGTAGGTTCAAATGGCCAAATAAAATGAAAGAAGCTCTGCTTAGATCAAGGCTAGAAGGAAGATATAACTGAGAATGGACATAGATTTGTCATATCTCGGTAAAAATTCTGTCATCTATCCATCCATTCAACTTTATTAAGCACTGCATTATTTTCCTAGGGCTGCAGTAATGAAGTATCAAAGTCTAGATGGCTTAAAACAACAGATATTTATTGTCACACGGTTCTGGAGGCTAGAAGTCCAAAACAAGGTGTCAGCAGGGCCATGCTCCCTCTGTGTAGCTCTAATCTCTGCTTTCGGTGGCATGTTGCTTTCTCCCTGTCTTCACATGGTTGTCCTATGAGGACACCAGTCATATTGAATTAGGGGCCCACCCTACTCTAGTATTAACTTCTTAACTAATTTTAAACACAATGATTCTATTTCCAAATGAGGTCACTTTTCATGGTACTGGGGGTTAGGACTTCAACGTATCTCCTTTTTTGGTGGGACACATTTCAATCTGTAATGAGCACCTATGATGCAACATTACTGTGCTAGGGGCTGAACAAAATACCATTCTTGCCTGCCAGGTGATGGCAGACTTGTGGAGAAAAAGACAATAGTCTCACCTCACATATACTACAACGGGATTAGAATAGGATGAAATAAGAGAACCGAGGAGGCACTCTCAGTTCAGATGAAGGTGTGTATGTATCTGTGGGGGAAACTCAGAGAAGATATCCCAGTGGAGGTGATGTCCAAGATTAGGCCTGAAAGCGTAGTCACCAGATAACAGTACAGATGGGATGGGGAAGAAAGCTTTCGAGACGTGGGAGGAGGAGCCGTGCTGCTGCATGAGTAATCGGCAGAGTACACTGCTGCTTTGGCTTTGCCTCATTCCGCTCAAGTCATATTAATCTTGCCTTTTAAGAGCCAACAGAGTTTTAATTTTATTTATTTTGGGACAAGATTTCTTCTTTTTACTTGAATTTAAGGCATCATGTATCACAGAGATTGAAAGGAAAAAAAATTCAGGGTCTTTTAAAAACTAAGCTTATTATTTTTCCAGTTATACATATACAGGTTATCTATTCTTTTTCAAATTCTTTTCCCATTTAGGTTATTACAGAATATTGAGCAGAGTTCCCTGTGCTATAAAATACATTCTTGTTGGTTATCTATTTTAAAAGTATAGTAGTGTGTATATGTCATTCCCAAACTCCCAGTTTATCCCTCCCCCACACCTTTCCCCTTTGGTAACCATAAGTTAGTTTTCTGTGAGTCTGTTTCTGAAAAACTAAGCTAATTTAAAAATACCTGTCAATTTGCTATGGATTGAATAAAATAATGTCTATAGAAAAAGACCTGGGATATTTTCAGTGTAGATATTCAATGTTAGTTTCTTTTCCCCCATTACACATGTACTCAGTGGGAATTAAATGCTCCCATCCTGTGATTACACAGCACTTTATACCCTTATTACAGTAGTGATTTTACTTTCCCTGCTTTATCTCATAGTTGCTACCATGTCTCTTTCAGAGTGTTACTCATCCTTTTATCCTTCCTTAGAGCTTAACAGTGCCTTATAAATGATACTCAATGAATTTTTGTTGATTTGTCATTACATATGAATGAACCCATTACACTGTCTAATGCACAATCATTAGTCTAAGCAAAAAAAAAAGTTTTAGAAAGTGAAATTAAACAGTGGGTAAGTTTAGTTCTTAAAATCCCCTATGAACAAAACTATATGATTATTTCCTGTGTAACTACTGGGTAGTCACAGGCAAGTTATATTGTCATAATGCTTCTAATATAAATGAACAAATATTTAGTTATAAGACTCTAAATAACAGTAGGGTAAAAAAGTCATTCATTTAAATTTTGATTTCAGGTGCTTTTTTATTATAATGGATTATATTATGTTACAAAATTTAATCAGTTTTTTAATATAATATAATGCACCAGAAACAAAGTTTTCAAATATGATTTGATTTCTGCTTCCTGGACATGTTTCCTGGGAATGCATAACAAAACTACTGTAGGCAACTGTGTCATCAGAACAAAAACAGTACCAACTATTCTAAGAAATCTCTGCCAGGATAACTAAATACATTCAGTGGTAAGAGAAAATTCTTACAATCTACCTTATTAGTAGGGATAAATAATTTACTTGTTAATTTCATAACGACAAAAGAATTCTCATTTCTAACCATGGTGTTTCGGTTGTGTTCATTAATGGAATTTATAAGACATTTAAATCATTTATTAATTCTTAAAATAATAGCATAAGGGGGTCAGAATTTATAATTTTTTTTTCAGTTTTTGTTGTGATATAACTGACATACAACACTGTGTAAGTTCAAGGTGTACAGCGTAATGACTTTGACATGTATATATATTGTGAAATGATTAGTACTTGAGTTTAGTTACCATCCATCATCTTATATAACTACAAAATTTTTTTACTTTTTTTTTTTTTTTTTTGCGGTACGCGGGCCTCTCACTGCTGTGGCCTCTCCCGTTGCGGAGCGCAGGCTTCAGACGCGCAGGCTCAGCGGCCATGGCTCACGGGCCCAGCTGCTCCGCGGCATGTGGGATCCTCCCGGACCGGGGCACGAACCCGTGTCCCCTGCATCGGCAGGCGGACTCTCAACCACTGCGCCACCAGGGAAGCCCTTTTTTAACTTTTGATGAAAACTTTTAGGATCTATTCTCTTAGCAACTTTCAAATATACCAGTACAGTATTTTTTATTATAGTCATAATGTTGTATATTATATCCCCAAGACTTATCATAATATATTTATAATATTTTAATGCTGGATATTTTCTTATATTATACATTTTAATCATATTACTTATAGTTATATCCTACTCCCGAAAAAATAAATTACAGAATAAAAAGTGATTTTAGTAAGTTAGGATATGATCATTTATACATTTAATATCTCATAGAAGGTTAATGAATTTTAGTGCCACTTCAAGGATTAAGCTGCTGAGTTCTCTATTTTTGGCTTTTCAGAGCCAAACAATTTGGGTGGCAACATAGATTAGTGGAGTCAAATACATTTGGGTCTGAACCCCAATTCTGCTGTGTGATTAATGGCAAGTAATATCTTAACTATTCCTCCTGGTTCCTCCTTTCCTCCTTCCAATGTAATCACTATCCCATTGGTTAGAGGTTTGTGACCTTGGGTAAATCAAAGAACCACTTCTCGGAGTATTGATTTCTCATCTATAAGGAAGCTTGTGAAAATTGGAGATAATACAAACATTGCTTAACAATGCATGGCATACAGTGGATATTCAATAAATGGTAGCTATGATTATTATATAAAAATTTTTTTTCAATGCTTTCAAAATGTGAAAGAGTGGGAAAAAGGAGGAAAGGATGGATTACCCACCTTCTGTGTACAGGCATGGAGGATTTTTGATGATTCAACCTCTTACCTACAGGTGAGTTAGTGAATAGAGTTGGAAGGAAGAAAGGAGAAACAAGGAAGGATATCTAAGATATTACTTGCCCTTTATGCAGTAGAAATTCCTCTACAAATTCTCCAGTGTATTATAAACATTTTCCTCAGTTAAATTTCAGTTATAAAAAAGCTCTTAATAAGCACTAGACTCTAAAAGAAAGGTCCTTTCTTCTCAAGACCTGGTTCTCATATGAAAAATGCGTTTCTCCCTTGTATTATGATTAAAAATTTTTGATTGAAACATTCATCAAAGATAGCATATGGTAGTGTTTATTTCTCTGATTACCTATCTACATTACCAAAAGAAAATTTCTCTTGACCACCACAGTATAGGAGAATAATTACTGAATTTAATCTTAAGAATATCTTAGAAGAGTATTGAACTGGTTCCAATTCAATAAGCTCTTTGCTTAGTTACCTGGCAACCATCCTGATACCTAGAGAATCTAGAAACTCTTGAAACCAGTGTGGTATAGTAGTTAAGCACATTGGCTCCATTGTCAGATGGACCCAGGTTCAAACTGTCTTTACTATATTTTAGCGGTGTGACCTTGAAAAAGTCACTTACATGTTTCTGCTTCAGCTTCCTCATCGGTAATTATAAAGCTTCTCAGACAAAGCTGTTCTGATGATTAAATAAGAATATGAGTAAAGGACTTAGAGTATA